TCCAAATTGATCGACATGGCAAAAACCCGGGACCAGGTAGCTTGCTGTGTTTTTAATGATACCGCCATTTATAGTGGGAAAGTCCTTAGGGGCGCAACAACAGCTTCAATATTTCAGCAGGTTAAATCCAGCCTTCCCACAGCGCTCTTATGTAGCCGGCCTGGTTCCCAGTTTGTCCACAGCTGAACTGAATGCCACCATCTGGAGACCGAAGGGACGTCTGGGCTCTGCGGTGATGAATGAATGCAAGTAATTGTTAATCGATGTGACAAAGCTGCTCTATGACCCCATGTCAGGATCCACAATTGGCTAACTGTCTTCACACTAGCCCCCATTTCCATAAACGTGCGCTACGCACAGTTCAAAGTATCGTATTCAAAAAGCTGTATGGAAAAAGAAAAAATCAACATGAACAACTTATTCCAGAAAAAACAATTTCATGCTTCAGGTGTTTTTTTGCTGGACAAAACGTCTATCTAATATAGATTTTCCCATAATGCACCAAAATATCTGCAGTAGCAACAACAAGTAAATGTGAACCAATGAGCATGTCAAAGTGGACTGGCCTTGTTTTGTTCGATTAGCAACCACCAGTCATTTTACTGAGATTGTGCGCGTGGAAAAGGAGGAGGACGACGCAAGGTTTTTTTATTCCTCCGCCGCCAGCGACGACATGTCAAGGGGATGAGAGCAGGGTGGAGGGAGACAGTGAACACTTGTTAAGTCTGTCTGATGTTGCCCCCTCTACACCAAACACACACACACACACACACACACGCATGCACGCATGCACGCACGCGCACAAACACACTTCAGGAAAACACACTCGCACGCCGTGCCCTTACATCTGAGACTGACAGTCACAAAAGCCATCAGGCTCCACCAGTTTGGAGAAACACTGCGACAGTCCTTGCTGATGTGCCCATCAGTGTTGCATTGTGGGTAGCAGCTTCAAAGCTTCAAACACACCTGCGCTTGTAGATACGTAGCGACGAAGGTTCATGAAAGAGGCAAAAACACGCCCCAACAGACACTGAGCTTGATGGCAAGTTTATTTCCAGTCCACTGTGGGATCTACTCCACTTCCCAGAATGCTGCTGGGTGACCACCAGAGGCCTGGCACAGCGTTGCTCAGTGAGAAGATGGTGGAGAGAGAAACAACAGATGGGGCGAGTGAGCTTTGCCTCCCACAAGTTTACTGAAGCCGGACAGTCGTGCGCTGATTCCTCTGACTGTATTGCAGAATGGCTGCGTGACGTTATGCACATCTAGTATCTCCCAACATGCACATTAACACTGTGAATATTTGCACACAAGGCATACAGACTTGGAATAATGGAACAATAAACCCTGCTGAACATGTGCCGGAACCCACCACGCAAAACAAAATACATTGTAGGACAAAACGAGTTTGATTAAGGATGAAAAATCAGTCTGTGTTATAATATACAACTATTGTTTTCAACAGGATTTCAGACAATATTGAAGCATGTATCTCGGTCTTCCCATTCACATATACCACTAAAACACTTCATGTCTGTCCTTACGAGCATCACACACTGCGCTTGGCCCACATATGACCCCTTACGTATATTAAAAAACGGTTAAAAAAAACTTCAACCAGCGTGTTGGGTTTTCGTTGTCATAACAGGCTATGGACATTAAAAAGCTCAATTTAGAACTATTATAAAACTGCTTGTGTGGTTTGTGCCGGAGGGCTGAATGGAACAAGGCCTCACTGTAACAATCAGGTCAACACCATGTTAGGGTTGTGATATATATATATATATACACACACATAGACAACCCTACATGTAGCCGTATCATGAAAGCCATCTCAGTCCTCACACTGTTTCTTCCTCTTTCCTGCGGTCCCACCCCGGTGTAGGAAATGCCATCAGCCACTCCTGTTCCTTTTTTTTCTTTTCTTCCCAGAATCACAGAGGCAGTGAGAGGATGGGAGGGGGAGGAGGAGGAGGAGGGGGAGGAGGAAGAGTCGAGAGGAGGAGGGGAATAAACATCGCATAGGAGGGTCGCGGGAGGAGGGGCCGTGTCCAGCTTCTCCGCCAAAAAGCCGCTAAAGAAAAAAAGAAAAAAAAGAAGGTAAGAAGAGATCAGATCGCGATGCAGATGTGCGGCGCGGCGGGGCGTCGCTCATTGGGCTCCATTGCAGATGTGAGCGGGTCGCCTTTGGTCGCGAGGACGCAGCAGTGATCTCATGGGGTGAGCGTTACATAACGCGCGTCTAATACCACGCGCTGCGTTTCCACCCGATTCCATCGCGTTGGCAGGAGATACCGAGTCGTCTCCTTTTAAAACCGGATGCACGTCGTGTTTGGTCGCGTGTGTTTTGCTTTTAAAACCATCGCGCGTCAATAAACCGCCAACATGCAGCCGCTCGGCGCCATTTGTCGCATCTTCTGTGTTTACCGCCGTCGGAGTCTTTTATTACGGATAAGAATCCCCCCGAATCCCCCCGAATCCCCCCGCTCGGCAGCACGACTCCTTCGGTATTTATGTTCTCCTGTTTTTCATCGCCTGCCGATGGGTTTATTCTCTGCATGTGTAAAATACACATACATTAAAGCAACTATTTCCCCAAACAGACGTCATTATTATTGTCACATTTTCTCACCGCATTATTGATTATTTTTATGTTTAAAATCCCGCAGCGGCGTGATAGAAATGTTGACCCGGAGAATCAGGTTTGTTTTTATCCTCGTGACCGGCAAGCGTCTGTCCTCCTGCTGAAAGCGCGCCCCCGACAATGCCACAGTCGCTGTCCTTCAGCACCACGTGCACGCGCATGCATAGAGGAGAGGAGAGGAGAGGAGGATTGATTGACAGCAGCCTGAAGTCAGGATTAGAGTCATTTCCATTCGGAGGAGACATATAAATATTTGATGCTAATAGAAGTGGAGTGTGCAGACCGGCCTGTATTTCTAGGCGTTTTAAACAAGGAGTTTGGTGCAACCCTTGTTTGTGTTACCGTGGTGAGGTTTTGGCTTATTTTAAATGCAGCTTTTTTCACTTTTATTTTCAAAACGTGTTACATAGTTTCTTTTTTTGGCTGCCGATGACATTTTTCTATGCAGCTGCTGACTTTCACTCATGCTTGCACACAAAATCCACTCGCACAGACTGGAAAGATTCACCATCAAAAATCACTTTATCGGTGGCTGAAGGCTCGGCTCGTTTGGGTAACTCTTGATCGCCTCCGGGACCTGGTTTGGATATCAAAATGATGTCTGTATTTTCAACTGAAAAATACTTTTTAAATTAACAAAACAAGCCAGAGTTCTACCAAAGAAGCCGACAAGAACGTGTAGGAGAAAGAATGAAGCTGGGGCTGTTTAAGTGCTTAAATGTTCTGTTGCATGTCGTTCCAGTGAGGCTCAGTCGAGGTCAGCGATGCTCCACCATCAGGACCAACCTCTGAACTCCTCCTACGGAGGCAAAGGAGGCTCCAGCAATGGCTCGTCCTCCTCGCTGCGGAACAGGAAATGTGACAAAGACGGTAACTTCAACTTCCTGCCGGGCAAAGACGACGAGGGCACTGGAGGAGGAGGAGGAGGAGGAGGAGGAGGGGACGAGAACCGTAACCCGGTACGTCCCCGCTACCTGGGCCCACTGGGACGCGACCCTCCGAACTCCAAGTCGCCCTCCGGTTATCACCACTACTCGGGGGTCCTTTCGCGCGCTCCCGCCGGCCCTGCTGGAGCCGCCTGGAGCCCCTGCCGGAAATCGAGAGCGGAGATGACGGTTACGGCCGAGTGCCTCCCGACGGAGCCGAGGAAGGCCGGATGCAGGAGGAGGAGAGGAGGGGGATGAAGAGCCACGCCGAGGAGAGGCGGCGAGGGGACATGGGGATGCAGGGGAGGAAAGACAGCCGGGGAAGTGAAGAGGAGGAAGAAGCGCCGCCGCTGGAGGACGGAGACGAATGGGGCGACAGCGACTCCGAGTCCGACTTCAGCAACCGCTCTGGAGGCAGCATGTCCTCGCTCAACATGGACAGCGGGGGCGAAGGGACGCTCATGGGAGGCTGGGACCGCATCGGGGTCGGGGAACCCAAATCCAGCCCCCAGGAGTGCGACCCGACCAAAAACGGCAACCGAGAACCGCCTGGTAGACACAGAAGCTTCAGCCGCAAGTCGCTGACGGGGAGCAAGCTGGGGAACGTCCTGGAGGAAGGAGCCCAGGAGGAAGGCGGCGGGCGGTCTTCAGACTCCGACAGCGAGATGCCCGAGATGATGGACGCCGTGTGGACGCTGCGGGACCGCGAGCGCTTCAAGGCCCAGGAGATGGAGAAGCACCAGGTGCAGCTGACCATGTACCGCCGCCTGGCGCTGATCCGCTGGGTCCGCACCCTGCAGGTCCGCATCCAGGAGCAGCAGAACCGCCTGCAGTCCAGCTTCGACGTCATCCTCACGCAGAGGAAGGAGCTGCTGCGCATGGGCGCCGCCGCCGGCGGCGTGGCCAACGCCGCGCCCCCCACCGCCGTCAGCTCGTAAAGGGGAAGCAACGGGGGATCATCTAAAGCAGGAAGTGGTTGAAAACCAGGGGAGGGGAGGGGGGTGGGAGGAGCAGTTCGCCTCCATCCTGAAGGAACTTTGCCTGATTAAAAAAAAAGAAGAAAAAAAGCTGCTTTGACGGACGTCTTTAAACTAAACACTCATGTTGCTGATTGTAATGCTTCTTTTTTTTACCGGTGTCCCATCCGGAGCACCGATACTTAAATATATCGGCACCCAAACCGGAACACTGTAATGTTTTTATCAAGAATAGTCCTGTTGTTGTTTGTCTTGATCTTTGTGTGCAAAACTGTCCCCCAAAAAGAGCTTTGTGTACATGTAACTGTGAGAGAGATACTGAGATCATGTTGTATATAGAGAGATGATAAGATAATAAGTCAATTGAAAGAATAAAGTTATATCACGTATCCAATTTGTTTGTGTCGTCTGTTTGTTTGCCTGCTCATCATCTGACCCAATGAGTCCGAGTTCTAATAGATAGATCGGAGGCGAAATCCAATCTTTTGGTTTATTACATTGGAAGCCCCGAGCCTTTGTTTCATAACAGCTCAGCATGTTGTTTTTTAAGGAGCAGATCTGTCAAAGCTCCCTCAGTGCAGATATGACTAAAGGAGGGCAGTTGTTATCTTCTGGAGCTGTACTTGCTGTTCTGGAGGCCTGCAGGCAAATGACCTTTCATCCAACAATCGCCTCTTTGTCAGCCGAACAAAGTTGGTTTGTATCAGCTCATCGCACGGGGCCGGGGGATTGTGTGTGTGTGTGTGTGTGTGTGTGTGTGTGTGTGTGTCTTCTGCAGGGAGTGTGATAGCCGTGTGAGGCTCCAGCATCAATCTTGGGGATGGCGGGCTGCTGCCGCCGCGGGCACTCCGAGATCGTCTCACCTCCATCCACGTGCATGGGTGTGTGTGTGTGTGTGTGTGTGTGTGTGTGTGTGTGTGTGTGTCAGAGATACCAGCCGCATTGCCACCCGATAATCTCCATCCCGAGCGGGCCGTGGTGGACCCTCCCCACCCGACACTCCCACCCTCACCCCGGGGGAGCCTGGCTGTCTGCGCCCCGGGGCCCCGCACGTCCCATCCGGCCTCGGTGAACAGACGCCGGTCCGGTGGCGCGCAGGAGAGCCAAACCCCGGGGCGACTTGGGGATAATCCCCGGCTATGCCTCCTAACTAACTGCGGTTTATTTCTGAAGCTTATCGCCTCTCTTGGACGCAGGCATCGCGGGGAAAGTCGCAGCCGATTTACATATTGATCCCGTGTTCGCCGGCGGGAGGTTTTGGGGGGAGTCACAGCGCGCGGATAACACGGTTACACCGGAGTGGGGACGACGCGCAAGCAGCCTCCTCTTTTTAAAAAAAAATGGGGACATCGAGGGGGAACAAACGCGCCTTTGATGGAGTGTTTCGTAAACCACCGAGACGTGATTTCAGGGTAGTTAGGAGGAATTCATCCAAACAAAGCGCAGCAAGAGATAAATGAGCCTTAAAGCTGCTTTGAAGAAGGATCTGATCGGTTTCACCTCAGGAGAAAGTCTCTGGGTGTTTTTAGGGCAAAACCCAAATATTAGTGGTTCTTTCTAATAACACACTGGTTATAGAGTTTTTCGGTGTTTTAAATTGTCATTAGTGGTTAATTAATTATATCCCCAAAAGATATTCAGTCATAAATAGGACGGTCTTTTAATTTACTGTTAAAAAATAATGATATATATTTCTAACAAGTCGTCAAATTTGCAGGCGTGGATGTCAAATGAGTCACGTGTTTTTCACTTTCTAACAACCCGACAGCATATCAAAATGTTCATCGCTACAGTATATTATTGATGTTAAAGGTTACAGCAATACTGGATTGTTGTCCAGATGTTCCTTAGCACGTTTCCAAAAGGTCAAAGGTCAAACAGAGAATGAGCTGTTAAAAGCCGTTGAAAGGACAACGAATGTATTTTTGAGGCCTTTTTTTCACAGCTCTGGTGATTGCTTCGCAGCCCATCTACACTCACGGCCACTTTACCTTGCTAGTAAAAGGTCGGACCCCCTTGTGCCTTCAGAACTGCCTTAGTTCTTGGTGGCACACTTTCAAGGTGTTGGAAACATTCCTCCGATTTTGGTCCGCCTTGACATCCACCACGTCCCGAAGGTGCTCCATTTGATTGAGATGTGGTGAGTGTGGAGCCATCGGAGTACAGGGAACTCATGGTCATTGTCAAGCTTTGTGACATGGTGCGTCATCCTGCTGGAAGTAGCCGTCACAAGATGTGCTCATATGAAGGGATGGACATGGTCAGAAACAATACTGCTGCATTTAAACAATGCTTAATTGGTACTAAGGGGCCCAAAGTAAATTTCCCCCACCATTACACCAGCAGCATGAAGCGTTGAGGCAGGATGGATCCGTGCTTTGATGTTACCATGTCACAGCTGATCTCACGACTCATCAGACCAGGCAACATTTCTCCAATTTTGGTGAACCTGTGCGGATTATAGTCTCAGTTTCCTGCTATCTTCTGCTGCTGTAGCCCGTCTCCTTCAGCGCTCCACGTGTTGTGTTTAGAGGTATTCTGCATTCCTGTTTTTTTAATGCATTCCTTGGTCTTAACGAGTGGTTATTTGAGTTACTGTTGCCTCAAACCAGTCTGCCCATGCTCCTCTGACCTCTCATCGACAATTAATTAATCAGTTAGCCTATGCCGAACGCAAAAAACATACCATGACATGTACAAAATTCACCGTCTGGAAATTATTTAAATATGTTTTTTTTAAATAGCTAAAACTTTTACATTCTTATATTTTTTAGCACCATAAATTTATTTCATAGACATTACCTAAAAGACTACTGGATTATTGCATTTAGGCTATTTGGTCATTTTAAATACACAATGATTCCGCTCAGCAGTGTTACAATAACGAGGGATAAATACACACACAAAAAACACTCATGCCTTATTTATGCTTTCTTATTTAAATAGAAGAATCATCCACGGGAAATTGTGCTTTATCATATTCAATCATCTCTGACTTGGAGGAGCCACGCAGGCGTTTCTCTGTGAGAGTAACCGGGGTGAAGAGCGCCCACTAGGGGGAGACACTCCATCACAGGACCCTCCGCCGGCGCAGAGCAGCGGCTGCTGTTCGCGTCTTCTGGCGCCAGGGGGCGGCAGGGAGCAAGTGGGTCCTTCAGCGGTGGTGCATTGAAGGGGGACCACCTGGGATCTGGCAGAGGGTTCCCACTGGGAGGTGGTAGATTGTTTTCCACTACATGTTGAATGATATAATGCCGCGGTTCATGACCTGAGATCGGGGTGCATAAAAAAAACACATATTTGTATGAGTTGTTTATTCGAAGGTTCCTCAAATCGTCTCTTGATTTTTTTGAGAACAAAATATTCAGATGAAACGAGGAAAAAAGATAAGATAAGATCATCCTTTATGATATGGCTTTGTTTTAAAGGGGTCACACGCAGTTTAACAGATCCGGTTTTTAAAGTCCTAGGCAGCCTCTACCTTTTTTCTACTACTTTTACTGAGACATACACAGATATTTTTTTAGAAATAGGGCAAATGACTAGGAAATGATTAGTCCATGTCGAATTACATAAATTCCCCAATGTTAGTATTTTTTGTAGTATTTTTTTGTAATGCTAATGTTTTACAACAAAGAATGATAATTGGGTTGAATTGTTAGAGTGGATTGTTTATTGTCCAGTATTTGCATTGTAATTTCGGGGGCGGGGGGGGTTAGGAGTATTGTGTTTGGATGCCTTTTTTAAAATCCCCCGCAGTATTGTTAAGGTTGGAAAACCCTTCATCTTCCCCCCCGTGACGGAGTAACATGTATTCAGGATCAGATTGTTCCAGCTCTGGAAGCTATGATGTTCGCACAGAGAAGGATTCAGCATGTGAAGCTTTGGGATGCTGATCAGGATCTGAAATAAAGTCTCTGAGTTGTATGTTTGGCTGCACACAGACACTAAAAATCACGTGTTCTCAAAGTGACCCAACAGCGAGGGAAACATTTTACCGTTATCATCTTGAATGTGCATGTCACTGGGTTATTAAAGGTATCCTTTGTGTTTTAAAAAGTGATTTTAACACAACTTTGTGCAACACACATTGAGCTTGTTGAGACCTCTTTATAGTTCAAAAACACTCCTCCACATTAAAAGATAGCACGGCTTAACGCCCTGCGTCTGAATTCACCTCACCCCTGCCTGTTAATGAAAGCAGTCGTTGCTATTTTCCACACTCGTGGCCGTGTGAGGCTTTAATTTCTCCTGCTGTCACATTTACAGTCTGTTTTCTTTATCTCTCCCTCAGATTCCGATTCCTCGGGACACAATCCGAGGGCTGCGGTCTTGTATGTGGATGCCCTTGACATGAAAAGTTCGGGGACCCCCGCCAGAAGCCTCGGCTTTAGCGGCTGTGTGGAGCTTTCTGAGCGCAGATATTCATATACACCCTATCATGCTCTCGCTCTCCCCCTTCCTGCCTCTGCCTGATGTAGTGTGACAGTGTGTTCGCCCGCAGCACTCTGCTGGCGTGGAAACAATCAGCTTTGACAGAAAGGGGGTGGTGGTGGGGGGGGGGGGGGGGGGGGAGAGTGAGGTAGAGGAGTAGGGAGGGATGAAGGGGGGAGGGGGGAGGCTGCGGCCCCGAGGCCTGTGTATGATAAACTGGATAGAAAGACCTGTCGTCAGAGGAGAAACCACACAACACACAGTCAGATGGTAGATGGGTGGATGGATGGTTGGATGATAGAAGATGGATGCATATGTAGATAAATGTGTAGACAGACACAAATATAGATGGGTGCTTTGATGGATGGCTGAATTGACACCACAAATCACATTAAACTGCTTTTTTAAGACAAGATTTGGTGACAAGTCAAAGCCATTTTAACCTTAAATTAACTTTACGGTTAAAATGATTATTTAGCATTTTATTTTATTTTTTCTGTGGTTACTTTTTTGGTAAGTGAAACTAATGAATAAAACAAATCCTTTTCAACAAAAAGGCAGAGGCCTTTTAATGCAGAAAAAGCACGTATAGGATTGCAGATTGTCGCTCTTTTTTGGTGAATGCTGTTTCCTCGTGTTGTTGATCTTTTTGGTGTGTTGTTTTGTTTGAATAAAATAATCAAATTGATATTTTGCCTCAAACTCCTGAAAAAGAGAGTTCGACTAGCAAAGAAAAAGTGTTTTGACAGTTCTCAAACCCCTTTTATTAAACACTTCACTGTATTTAATAACCATTGTTGTGCATTATTTCTGCTCATTCCCATTTATTGCATCCAAGTCTCATCAGCAACTGCTCTAGAAATCAAATGGCTTTCAGTTAACTTAATTTGAGCGTGTGCAAAAAAACAGGGACAGGACATGGACAATTTAATTGACAGAGAAGACAAAAACAGGTCCAAT